GTCCCCCTCATTGGACTGGTCCAATTCCCTTCAGTGACATCTCTATATTAAGCCTCTTTGGTTGTTCATTGCTGTTCCATTACTTTTCCTGTGCTTCATGAACTGTTCTTCCCCTTTCATTAAAACTTTCTTTTGCTTTAGCTGTTGTCTGAATTTCGGTCCTGCCTTATACTCACAAACCTAACATACGAAGTTTATGAGTCAATATGCCTCACCTCAAATTAATACTGCCCATTTCATCTTTGCATATTGCATTTAATCCCTGTCTAGTTTCACTTCATATCCATACACCTAAACCATGGTGTATTAGTTTTACCTTTATTTTATAGTAGCACCACAATCACACTTCATAACAGTGTACTGATTACTATGTCAACTGGTCAAAAGTGACCCGATTTCCAAGGGAACACTGGTATGTTAACTCATAAACACACAGTTGTGGATATGATAGGATTAGCCAAGACAGGTTACATTTTGTATCCAAATCTGCTTTGGTATTTGTTTTTAACAGCAAATCAGAAAGTTGTGGAACCGGGTGCCACATAACCTGATATCAGAATGGAAATCTAACTTCATTATTCAAGGATCCAGATATAGAATTTTCTTAAACTTTCCACATATGTGCTCATTTTCATGTTTCCTTTCTCTAGTATTTCCCTCCTCTCGTAAAGTCAAACAATTACACTGTGTGGCCAAAGAAAGTTGCCATCTGAATTATTTGAGCTAAAAGGGATGAGTTTTCTGTCAGATGCATGGACAACTGTTTTGCAGCTGCAACCAGTGACATATTCACAGCTGGTACAATCACTAACTATGACTTTTTTAAGCAACCATGTGGAAAGACATTCTAGTAGAACGTATGCCTGCTTAAGAAGGGTCAAATCTTTGCCATGAAGTAGATGATATGTTTCAGGAGATTCCAGAAACTGCAAAAATTGAGTTGAGAATTGTCCAATGCATTATTAAAAACTAGAAGAAAAGTGGGGACCCGCTGTCTTTGAGGAAGAAAAGAGGTTGGAAAGAAACCTGAATGGTGATCACTTAAGAATTTGGTGACAGAGAAACAGGATCAGAACTCGGGACTACGTTTAGGCTTTGATTTCATTTCTTTGCAGGTTATATATTTCCCTTCCTGATACATCATTAGTTATTACTGTCTCCCCAATCTCACCTCTGATTGCAGCTTCTGCAATGGAAGGAGGTTGAAACTCATGTGAGCGTCTTTTAACTCTGACTTCACTGATTTTAAACCATTTTTCATCCTCTTTTTTTATTTTCAGTCATTTTTCTTTCAGGCTCTAAACCTTTCTGAAGGTTTACCAACCTAAAAAAGCCAGAGGAGAGACTATCTATGCAGTGCTACATGCTACATAGCACTGCATAGTGCTATGTCTTTTAAGTTTGTCTTCTTTGGGTTGATCACTTTTAGTTGGAACACCTGGTAGGATGACTAACAAATTCAAAGGCAAGAACAAACTTTTGGCTGAGGTCAGCTCTCTGTCCACTATATTCCCTCTCATACTCCTCCATATAGGCAATCCATATTCCTACTTGTCAAACAGACAGATAACTGTTCTTTTTTCTAAATATTACTGTCACTTATGAATGCAGGATGGCTTTCACACTTCACATACACAAATAATTATGTTTCGTTTTGTATTTGCCTTATGTAGTGTTAATTTAAATTTGTTTCCCCTACAGGGTAAAAATGCAGCTTGTGGTGGTTTTATTTCTTATTGAAGCCCTCTGTCAGGTACCCTTTTTTCTCAAAGTCAACAATAAACTATTTTTTGCTAAGATCAAGACAAAATCGTGTTATATTTAAACACATTGTAACATCATTGACATCACTAATAATTCTGATATTTACTTGTGTTTACTCTTGCAGGACAATACTGCTGGTAAGACGACAATGTTATTTATATAACATAAGTTAAGTCCTTAAACATTTTCCTCTCCTTACCATAGTTCTTTATGTATTGTTTATTTAAAATGAACATTTTCTCTGTTTGCTTATCAGCTGCTAAGCCTGTATCTTTTACATTTATGGGAATATTCAAGTTCTCGGCCAAAGCGTGGAACGGGAAATCAGTGACGGCGGCAATGTCACATGGAAAACGGAGAACAAAAACTTCCAAATATTTAACAGCAGCGGATTCTCCCACAACATTATAGTCTACACATGTGATGAGCTGGAAGGTATATTTTCTTAAGAGGTTGTGTCTGTGTCATTGACTGTATTGTCAACTAATCCAACTGCATACTCTGTGTTTCTGGGAAACATCCAATTTGCTGCCCTGACGATGACAACACAAAAAGCAAGGAGTATCATGCAGAGACCCCTATACTTCGAAAAGACCAACGGCAGCAGTTTTCTCCAATATGTCATAATCCACAAATGTGTACAGTTTGCAGGTACTTCCAAATATTTAACAGCAGCAGATTCTCCCACATCATCATAGTCTACACATGTGACGAGCTGGAAGGTATATTTTCTTAACCTTAAGAGGTTAAGTATTCCCCCAAAGTAGTTGACAAGCTCTCAAGTCATTTCAACACATTCTGTAAATATGTGTTAGCTATAAAACTCCAACGTAAAAACGTTGGAATTTCATTGTCATTTGTACCAGAGAACACAGGACAACGGTTTTTTTCTCCTACAGGAACAGCTAATTCATACCCCACGACAGAATCTAATTCTACACAGAGCACAACAGATTACCACATATCTGCTGCCATGACGACCACAGGTGAGTTGACAATTTCTTGATCTAGCTCTACACATCTGTAATATGTTATCTGTGAGATTTCAAGCCCACACATGAAATTAGTGGTGATATAAATCCCCACAAATTAACAGAACACCAAAATATGGGACCTAAAGAGATAAGTACCACCAGTATTACCCCAAAGTAGTTGACAAGCTCTCAAGTCATTTCTACACATTCTGTAAATATGTGTTAGCTATGAAACTCCATCGTAAAAATGTTGGAATTTCATTGTTATTTGTACCAGAGAACATAGGACAATAGTTTTTTTTACCCCTACAGGAGCAGATATTTCATATCCCACGACAGAATTTAATCCAACACAGAATACAACAGATTACCACGTATCTGCTGCCATGACCACCACAGGTCAGTTGACAATTTCTTGATCTAGCTCAACACATCTGTAATGTTATCTGTGACATTTTATCAGCATTCTCAGAGTTATGGATTCTCATGCTCACTCTTCCCAAAAGGTTTGATTTGCAGGCCTTTTGGTTTGTAAATCAAACCTTTTGTATGTCAAAAGGTCTCCAGTTCTTGGTTGCACATAGGTTTATAGACAAGTATATTTATAATGCATACTGTAGATAAACCATTATTTCTACAAACTCTGCTTATTGTGACTGTGACACATTCAGCTCATTTGTACCAAAGAACACAAGACAACAGTTTTTTTTTACTCCAACAGGAGCAGATAATGTATACTCCATGACAGAATCTAATCCTTCACATAATACAATAGATTATCACCTATCTGCTGCCATAAAGACCACAGGTGAGTAGACAATTTCTTGATCTAGCTCTACACATCTGTAATGTTATCTGTAAAATGTTATCAGTTTTAAAAATAACTTATCCGCATTCTCAGAGAGATGGATTTTCATGCTCACTCTAGCCAGACATACTCCTCTCTGAAAATGGAACACAGAAACATGTTTTTGTCTGGAGATTGAGAATTGAAATATCAAGTTTTCACATTTCCCAAACAATATTATTTCCACTTTGGTCATGGATTATAAAGAGTCTGTTTGTTTCATAGAGGTGGCCACCAGAAAAGGTCCAGTAACTTGTAATGAAAATGGTACATCTGGAGGTGATCAAGGCGATTGCGTCCCTCCAGCTGTGATGGAGCTGCTTGGTGAATCTGAGGTATTGTAGCACTTTGGACACTTCTGACCCAACAAAATAGAATTTAAATCCATCCACAACTCTGTTTTGGTACATATTGTCGAAAATGCTGAGTCCATTTAAAAGGTTTCCATTGGGAAAAAATTTTCTATTCTACTAACTAAATAACTATCACTGAACATCTAAATAGAAAAAAAATATATTTTTGACATTAAATGTTATGGACATTAACAACAGACGTTGCCTAGCAGGAATGTTATGCAAATGTATATTTCTGGGAATAACTTCAAACCTGGCCTAATAGTGGAGAGCAACAATATGTAGGATTCCAAGGCAACGTCAAAAAAATCGATCTGTTTTATGTAAACCACAGAGGTGATTGGTGCTAAATACCTGCGTTAAAAAGTCTCCCCGTTTTGTTTTACATGAATAAATGATTTCGCAATCATTTATTCACAATCACATACTACAAGTGGGTTACAGATGTACAGATTCTACAGAAAAATCCATCCAGTGTTTTATTCAGCAAATCCTAAGCAAAACTCTTGACTATTTCAGTTAATTGTAGTGGCTACAATTAACAGAAAAGATTTGGTCCAAGTAATAAAACGAATCCCACAAAAATATGCAAACGATAGCGCCTTATTTCATTGCAAATAATGAAATAAACTTCAACTTTTCAGTACAACATATAAATGAAAGGTTCATCAACTATGTACTTGTTCCAACAATATTTTACATGAATATAGCTATATGTAAAAAAAAAACTATATTTTACATAAAATGGTTCATTACCAACTTCTATATATGAAAATAAGGACATGTACACACAGTGATGAAACCCCGTTTAACTTTAGTAACTTTAAAGACAAATTTAACACAATCTAATCCCTTCAGTTGACTATAAAGAGATTATTACTTTCAGCTATGAGAGGAAATAATGTTAAATCTTTCTTCAATCCTGACAGAAACTGAATAATCAGACGCTTCCGGTATTCCTGGAGAAACTCAAAGATGTGTCCGTTAACAACACCGAGAACATTTCCAAATCGCCAAATACGATCAGTTTCATTGTGAGAGCCCTCGGCACCGTATCAAACAGATCTTCGCTGTTATCCATGCCAATAAATAAACAATCAACAGAGGTAGGAGAAATAGTATATTACATAATATTTACTTCTTTGAAGACATAATCTAACTCATAATGTGATCGTTATTACAGAACATACTGAAGATCGCAGGTCTTCTTACCTCGGATGAAGCAAAGGCATCATGGGATATCCTAAACATGAACGATAAAACACAGAGCTCAGGCACAGAGAATGGTGGGAAAGTAAAAAGCTTCAGCGCTTCCTTCCTGAACTTCTTTGAATCAGTTTCCACCCTCCTTGTCAATGACTCTTTCTCTGTTGAGACACCTTTCATTCATCTGAATAGAACTCGGTTAAAAAACAAAATGACTTTCAAAAGTCTGTTTAACACCTGGATGGAAATATACATACCAGAGGCCAGAGAAAGTCAATTTATTACTACAATCGTATTCGCGTCCATGGATAACGTGCTCCCTCCAAGAAATGAAGACAACTCCTCATATATGGTTATCAATGGAAAGGTTGTTCTTGCTACGACAAAGGCCAGAATCAGAAATATATCAATAACGTCAGAAATTCTGAATGACACCCTCGGAAACCCAAAGTGTGTTTTTTGGGATTTCACACTCTTTGATGGTCTTGGAGGATGGAGCGACTCAGGCTGCTCTCTGCTGTCCCACAACAATGAAACCATCAGCTGCAGCTGCAACCACCTCACCTCCTTCTCCATGCTGATGTCCCCTGAGATTATTGAGGACGAAAACATCAAGGACATAACAATAATTGGAGTCGGCATATCCATGGCTTCTTTGATCATATGTCTTATCACAGAAGCTCTCACTTGGAAAAAAATAAGTACCAACACCACCGCCTTCCTGCGTCACATTTCCATCATCAACATCGCCGTTTCTCTCCTGATCGCAAACATCTGGTTCATTATCGGAGCGTACTTTACAGAAGATGGTAAGAAGAAAAACCCTGCGCTGTGTACAGTCGTGACCTTCTTCATCCACCTCTTCTACCTCGCCATGTTCTTCTGGATGTTGGCCTCAGGCCTGCTGCTGCTCTACCGCACCGTCTTCGTCTTCGAGGGCGGATTGTCCAAGGCGTCCATGCTGGTTATTGGATTTGTTCTGGGGTACGCTGCTCCGCTGGTCATCGCCGTAACAACCATGGCAGTGACTGCCCCGTCTCATAAATATGTCAGAGAAGGTAGTGGCTGTTGGCTGAACTGGGAGGACTCCAAAGCTCTGTTGGCTTTTCTGGCTCCTGCACTTGCGATTGTGGCGATAAACTTTTTCATCCTGCTGGTAGTGATTTATAAAATGTTGAGCAGAAGAGGAATAAGGGATGTACGTCAAGGCAAAGAGCAGCATGTTTTGGTGGTGATTGCCAGGAGTCTGGCTGTGCTCACACCGTTTTTCGGACTGACGTGGATTTTGGGAATTGGAACCATAACTGCCCCCAAAAACAAGGAGGTTAACTTTGCTTTTGTAGTCTTCAATTCACTGCAGGTAACAATATGATTTTAATTCATTGTAATTGTTTTATTGCTCAGTACTTTACCATATAGTGCAAGTGTTTATTTAAAAAAAAAAAAAAAAGGTCAAATTTCCCTTTTGTTGACCATATGCTCCCCTTCCAGGGCTGCTTCATTTGGGTGTTTGGAACTCTCCTGGACAAAAGGGTTTGTTTGTCTCGTTTTTCTTTCACCTCATTTGTAATTGGTTTTAAATAATGCCTCATTATCAAGTGTTATGGAATTATTACAGATAATTCATTTTCAATCTTACAAAATGATCAAATATTCCTACATTGATAAAACGCACATTTTCTTATTGTCTTTTTTTTTTTTTTTTTTTTTTTTTTAGGTACGATCAGAAACAATAAAATATCTGAGCTCCCAGGATAAGTCGGTTACTGGTTGATGATGTCACGCTGCTTCATCAGTCTGCATGTGCTGCAGGAGTTCCTCTGTGAGAACATTGTTTAACCATTTTCATCACACCTCATTTTTGGACATTTCATTTGGCTTATTGGATTCCAAGATTGTAAGTTGACAGGAATTCAGCTAAATGGCCAATTCATACCCTGAACAGTTGGTTCCTGTCAGACCTGGGAAAGTCTGACTTTTTCTTTTCTTGTTCTCCACTGAACTACGATGGGAGCCATACATGTGTTTTCACACGTTGTAATCCAGTAGACTCGGTTTGACTGGGGACCAAATTTGCCGCATTTGTTATACTTTCACCTGCTGGGTTTTACTTTCACACCTCACTGTCAAACGAACCAAACCCTTTGAAAAAGCGGATCCCCTCCTCGCTTTTGGTGATGTTGCACCAAGAACCACTGAAGCAAATCCCTTTTTTACAAAATGTAAACAAAAATGTATTAGTATTTCTCTTTTGTTTTTGGTAAAAGACTACAAGCTCTTCCTCCCGCTAGCAGTAAGTGCAGGCGTTTGTTTTGGTTGTGTTTACCAAGAATGCCCTGCCCTATAATCCGCTTCCTGCTTTGGGAGAAGTCTTCATCCCATTTGCCGTTCGCATATGCATTCAAACCGTGTCAGAGCTCACTTAAACGGAACAGAGACCGAGATTTTTAAACGAACCAGAGTTTGCTTTTTTTGTACCAATCACACATTCTCACCTGTCCAAATGAATAGGACCTCAGAATGCATTCACACAGGGCTAGTGTGAATGCACCTTAACTTTAACAATATATGATGAGCATTACTCTTTTAAAAGAAAATTCAGTTCAGGATTTTTGGACAAAACTGGTGCAACAACTAGTCAGGGATATAGTGAAATATAATTCAGGACAAAAATAATCTTAGTTGAACATCTAGTTCAGGAAATCAATGCAGTTTAGCATTGCAACTCTGAATGTCACTATCATCAACTGACCCCCACCCATCAACACATACAACTGTGGATTTAACTGACAAAAATGCACCAAGTATTGCTTCTTGGTGCCATTGTTTTAGGTCTTTCAGTCACCGTCCTCTTCTTTGTACCAGAGTCTATCGACCAGAATGATTGATTCCAATGTTCATTTGACAGTGCGGTGCTATTGATTACATTTTGCTCTACAATTATTTTATTTACACTACTTACACTAAGATTATCAGAATAACATGAATTTACATGCAGAATCTTGTATCATTTCAGAATTTTAAATATGTGTAAATTTGACATGACAAGATATTCACTGGAATGAAGGGCATGCTGAGAACCTTGTTGCAACTTATGCACTAAATGTTGCTAAATATGGTTCAGCTTGATGACGTATGCTTTAAATCTTTGTTTTAAAAACAATCATGGATTACTTTCCTGAAATAGTTGTAAACTAGACAGTGTAAACATTATATTTTCTGGCAAAAATTCAAAGGTAAAGAGTGCTGAACGTGTATGTCTATCATGAAAAAAAACATTGAGCTAATCCATGTTTATTCAGCCTAAACTATTCACATTTTCTGGTACTTGTGAAATATTTCCATGTTTTTGAATGTAATTTGCATCCAGAAAAGTTCTCAAAGTCACTGTAATTAATTAACATCATTTGTCATTTTATTCATTTGGATGTAAGTTGTGTAATTATGTTTCTCCTTTAAAATTGGAGATAAGGATTTCTCAAATGTATGTTTCTGTGTTTCTATATCTTATATAAACCAGGCGAGTTTCTCCAACCTGAGAAAGGCTGATTCTGTGCCTTCAAATCATTTCAACAATGCTCCTGTAGAAAATTCATGACTCATAACGTATAAGTCCGAAACAGGAAGAGGTTTGAAAAAAACAGTCTGTGTGCTGCACTCAAGAGAAAGATTCATTTGATGCTCAAAGAGTGATGTCATCACTGCTGATGTCATTGTTACCACTGTAGCTGAACATTTTAATGGCGCATTCACACCAAGCGCGTTTTGAGAGTCAGGCAATTCTGGTTTATATTCAAGGTCTATGTGGAGTGTTGGACGCGCTGGATGCGTCAAACACTCCAGACGCTCGACGCGCCTCCACATAGACTGAATGCAAAACCAGACGCTCAAAACGCATTTAGTGTTTACACCATTATATGTCCAGTGTCACATTAGGTCAGTGCTTTGACCCTCTGCTCTGAATGTTTTAGACGTGTCTCTATTTCAGAACAGCTGATCCAAATGATTGCATGACCTATTTTCATAAAAACTGACTGGTTGTCTCACAGAGATTGAATTCTTTCTCCACCTGTCTTTGTTACACGCAGGACAGTTACCATAGCAATGGAACACAGCAGGGCATAGCAGCTGATTAGGACTACAAAAACGCATCACTGTAGTTCTAACTGGCAGGAATGAACTGGCCTCTAGAAATACATGTGTTTTGGGCGTTTTATAACTGATTTTAACCAACCACATTGTTACACATAAGATTAGTGTGGCAATTTTAAATTAAGCTTAATGAAAATTTCAAAATAAAAGACTACACAATTTTTACATCAGGTAATTCTGTTTCGGACATTTTATAATTGATTTAGCCCAATCACTGTTACTCATGGGATTAGCTTGGACATTTAAAATGAAGCTTACTGAAAATTTCAAACATTAGCACTTTGGCTAATTTTAGCTTTCGCACTAATGTTAACATACTGAATGGTTCAAGTCCATGTTAGTCAACATGCTTGTGACTCTCCACGGGCTACTTTGTAATTTTTTTGCTAAGCTTAGCATTGATGCAAATTTGTACACTGGCTCCAGGCACACTTTGGCAGGCCCTGGTTAAATTTCATCAGGAATTTTTTAGTTATTATTATCAATCCATCCATCCATCCATTTTCTTACACCCTTGTCCCTAGTGGGGTCAGGAGGTGCTGGTGCCTATCTCTTGCTAACGTTCCGGGCGAGTACACCTTGTTGCAGGGCCACGCAGAGCCAAACAGGAAAAACAGCCATGCACACACACTCTCACACAAATTAACTTAACAGGCATCTTTTTTGACTGGGGGAGGAAGACGGAGCACCCTGAGAGAACGCACGCATGCACAGGGAGAACATTCAAACTCCGAGCAGAAAGAGCCCAGGCCAGGAATCGAAGCCAGGACCTTCTTGCTGCAAGGACCTTCCACTGTGCAGCCCAGGGAATTAATTAATCATTTAATTTATTATCTTTTTATTATTATCCATCCACCCATATATTCACCCATCCATTTTCTTCCACTTATCCGGGGTCGGGTTGTGGGGATAGCAGCTTAAGAAGGGAGGCCCAGACTTCCCTCTCCCCCAGTCACTTGTTTCAACTCTTCTGGGGAAACGTCAAGGCGTTCCCAGACCAGTCAGGAGACATAGTCCCTCCAGCGTGTCCTGGGTCTTCCCCGGGGCCTGCTCCCCGTGGGACGTGCCTGAAACAACGCTAGGTCATCTTGACCAGATACCCGAGGCACCTCAACTGGCTTGTGGAGGAGCAGCGGCTCGAGTCTGAGTTCCTCCTGGATGACTGAGCTTCTCACCTTATCTCTCAGGGAGAGCCCAGCCACCCTGGGCACTGATCCTCATCCTGGCCGTTTCAGAATCAGCTGTGAACCGCTGCAGGGAGAGCTGCAGATCACATCCATCAGGACTGATTGATTTTGAGAAATCAATCAGTTTCTCAAGCTGTTTGAGTTCCAGTTTAACATCTAGACTGTGTAACATCGGAACAGTTAAAGGCGGACTTACAGTAAATCAGCACCACCAGTTGAACTACTGAGTTATCAGTTAGTTCAGGGGTCGGCAACTCCAGGCCTCGAGAGCCGGTCTCCTCTCCAGGATGTGTTTCTACTTCAACACATCTGAGTCAAATGATGGGATCATAAGCAGAACTCTGGAGAACTTGACTGCATTCAGGAGGTGATTCAGCTGTTTGAATCAGCTGTGTGGACCAGGGAGACATCTAAAAGTTGCAGGAGACCAGCTATGGAGGCTTGGAGTTGCCTCCCCTGAGTCAGTTGAACTAATCCTGCAACAGTTCAGTTTGAGAACACAAACTGTGACTAATATGGCCCCACACTCTGCCTTGGGTTCAAACAACTCCAAAACCCAAACAGAGAATCAGTTAATGAGGTTTATGACAAGGAAGTCACATGAAAACCTCTTGTCTCCATAAAATCCGTGATTCAATAATTTCCCTCCAATAAAAGTAACCAATCAGAAGCCGCAGGTCGGGCTCCGCTTACGACGCTGTTTCTGGATGACATAATCTGTCTGTGTCGCGCTCTGTCCCGACCCGCGGCTGACCTGCGACCCTCCAGCACCGCTCCACTCCTCGGCGGGCCACGCCCCTCTTCAGAGACGCGGCTGGTCCTCTGCGCTGGGCCGCCTGTCCAACCTGTCCAGCCTGTCCACAGCGTCTCTTCTGCGAATCTGCTCCCAGCAGTTGAACCACTGAGATATGGTGTGAGAGCTGAGCTGTAACGGCTCAGCTCTCACACCGAACTGCTTACAGCATGTCATTGCTGTCAGCATGATGATCTGTAAGCATGCTTAAGCATGATCATCATGCTTACAGCATGATGATCAATCCTGTGCAAAGCACGACAAGAAACGAGGTGGCATATCCGCCAACCTGTGCGGTGCGCAGCTTTTTGCTCTCAAAACTCTGGAAGGCCTTCTTCATCTGCGCTTGCAGCAGCTCGCTCATCTGGGCGCTGACGCGCTCGTCCTTGGATCTCAAAAGGTCCTTCAGCTGTGAGCTGCTGCGCGTTTTCTGCAGCTCTTCCAGCACCTTGGCGCACATGCTGCTGCGCTTCCTCGAAGATGTTGAAAATCTCTTCGGGATCGTGAGGCCTTCTGTGGCCCCGTCTATCATCTGGTGGATGAAGGCAGTCTCCTCCTCGCCGAGCTGCTCTGCAGTTCGCAAAGCCCCGCAGCGGACCAGCAGCCCGAGCTGCAGGTTTGCTGCGAACAGCTTCAGCCGGTTCCCCTCCAGCTCCTTCTCCATCTGGTCCGGAACATCGGGATGGTTGAAAAAGATCCGTTTAAGTTTCATTTTCTCAGTGAAAGTTTGCAACGACGCGATTCTAGTGAGAACTCCTCCAACTCCTGTCTGTTTGTCTCTGAGGAATCACTGAAGGAGACAGAGACTCAAAACCTGTCAAAGCCTTTGTTGCGCCGTCATTCGGTGACGTCCTGTCAGTGACGTCATATGGCATAAAACTTCTTGTCAAGTCTCGATTTTTGGCCGGGAAATGAAACTGCGCATGCGCCCCATTTGAGCTCTACTTGTCTTCTGTCTTTGAAAGAG